ATTTAAGATTAAGTCTCTAAAATGAGACCAAATTCTAAATCATATCTTTGACTATAAGAGAGAAAAAAAGAAGTAAGAATGAATTAAAATAAACTGTTATATTCTGTTTAACTATTTCTCAGGAATAATATGGTTTTGATGAACCATATTAATATAAATGTATGTGCCCCCTCTCTAAAATGGTTTGTGAGAACAAACCAATATTTGTCAGTACCTGAACTGAAGATATGATACCTCAGTGAATGTAAAACTGGCTATTTTATAGAGAAGGGCTGAACAGGTCTAGAGTCTATGTGTTACCCAAACATCATCACTTAAGTTCCACAAAAAGAGTGAGTTTTGGGAACATAAAATAGAATACTCACTTGAATGAGTTCTGGGTATCTTAGAGGAAACTTCTATAAAAAAATGCAAGAGTTATAAGAAGACAAAAAAGCAACGAAAATACAATAACAATGCCACACTACACATATAATCTGTGAATTTTAACATTGCTACTTAAGAAAAAGGTTTTTATCTTAACATCTAAATTTGAGACCAAATTTCTTTGCGAGCAAATTTTAAAAGGAGAAAGGGAGAACTATAATTGTTTTATTGACAAATATCAAAGGAAAATATATTAAATTTGTCCTCTTTTTCGAATATGAGAAAGAATAAGAAAATATGTAAAAAGGCTAAAAAGAATTTTAGTTACTTTAAATTAGAATGGTAAAGAAGTTACTCAGTATGCTGAACTATTTATATTACATGGTAACTCTAACGGTGATTTAAACCATTATAAATTTTTGGAGCCAATGTATACTTTCCTAATTAAATATTTTTTGTCTGGATTTTATTTTCATAATCAATTAAATCATATAAAAATGTGCCTCAACCTGAATTTTTACTTTAGAAACAAGACTTAGTTTTGTTAAATAATGGCATTTAAATAAATAATCACAAAAACACACCTGATATTTTCTTTGAAATAGGGGTGAGGAATCTGTTTTCTGGGGAAACTATCTGTTTATTTGTAAAAAGGATAAGATAAGAATGGCTCCAATGACACATTTCTGAGGAACTCGGATCATTTTTGTAACTTGAAGTCAGAGATTTCCTCCTATTGGTTCTTAGGATCTTTCATAAACATAACACTATTGGGTAAGAAGTTGAATTATCTGTGATTCTATATTATCCAGAAGGGGAACTGGAGAATAAGAGTCTCATCAATGCAAACAACAGAATATCTCAGCATTTCAGAAGCTTTGCTTCTGTATGAGGTAGCTTCGATGTCCAAATTTCCCAGATCATTATTTTATCTGAATTATTTTATTGTCGGGTGATTCCTGTTTATATATTCCTCTCACCTTCATTAACCACATATCACAAGGGAACAGGATAACTTTTTGTTTCAGATAACTGTTTCAATGTTTGTTTGTCTGTTTGATGAGAGGGAAAGTTATTTAATTTATATTGTCTAGTTTAATTGTCTATAGCAAGCATCTCAAACTCGCAGCCTGTGGGCTACATGTGGCCAACAATGAATATTTTTGTGGCCCAGCCAATGTAATGGTACGTAAGAAACGTTTTAATAAAAACTTAATTTTTACAATATCCTGTTATATATATATATATCTATAATAATAAAAGCATAAAATGCGAATCAACCAAACAGCAGAACAACTGTCCAGATTAAATTCCTGTTACCACGCTATGACACACATTGGTGCCAGGCCAGCCAAGGTGGGTGCGATACAATTGGTTGGGGAGGCCCCACCATTCCCCACAATCAATCACCCCAAAGAGGGAGGCCCAGGCTACCTGGCCAGTGGCATTGCGGCAGGTGGGTGAGGCCTCCCTCTGCACGGCAATTGACCTGAGGGCTCCCCCCTATGATCAATCATCCCACAGAGGGAGGCCTGGGCCACAGGTCAGTGACACTGTGATGGGTGTGCGGGGCCAGCCAGCGATTGCCCCGCAGAGGGAGGCCCAGACTAGCCAAGCGATCACACCCCACACCTGTCACCCACAGAGAGAGGTGACTGGTGGTGGGGAAGGGGGGCGGCACCACATAGATGGCAAGCAGTGGCAGTGGCAGGGGTGGGGTCAGCTGCTGGCAGCTGGGGGAAGGAAAGCCTCAATAGGCCCTGATTGCCAGCCAAGCTGAGGAAACCTACCTGTGGGGTCCTGACTGTGAGAGAGCACAGGCCGGGCTGAGGGACACCACATCTGGTGCATGGATTTTGTGCACCAGACCTCTAGTTATTAAAATAAACTACAATGTTTGCTAATGACTGATTACTATAATCGTGTTTCATTCATTTCCCTTACACACCTTACACACAGGTACACCATTTCTCTCCACTAATACTAGCAGTGATTGCCACATCATTAGTCTTAGACTGACTTGTTTGGTGTGTGCAACAGGAAATATATCACTTTCAGAGAACAAGAAAATAATTTGTGCAGTTATTCAGTGTCTAATAAGTTAATGTTCAAGAAAAATTTAATTTTTATTAACATGTTCTATTTTATGTTAATGTTTACTCATTTATTTCAGTTCTTTTTATTCAGCATGTCTCTTTCTAAATAAACCTACATTTCTATGAAAATTGAATGAAAATTGAAGCTTTTGTTTTTGGGGGCCTACATAAATTTAAAACTTGTTTATTTGGCCCATGTTAGCCTTTGAGTTTGACATGCTTGATCTATAGTGATGATAATGACTTGATCTCTGAATCAGCAGAATCAGCCTAGTTTTCTGTACTTTGGGGGAAAAATATTGGTTGACACAAGCTATCTCAAATAAGATAGATTTGGCTTTGGTTCTAAAAGCAGGATACTGTGGAACATGTGCTTTGATGTTATATTTAGATAGGAAATATTGGACACCTCTTCTATGTCTATATATATATTTAGACATATATGTCTCTCTCTCTCTCTCTCTCTCTCTCTCTCTCTCTCTCTCTCTCTCCTCCCGCCTTGCTCTCTCTCTCTCTTTCTCACTCAAGCCCTCAGGTCTCTCTCTCTCTCTCTCTATATATATATATATATAACATATATATATATATGTTAATTGTATAATGGAACAGGGGAAAGCCTATTTAGTATAAAATGCTATTTATCATATATAATACCTTCTTTTTTCATTTTTTTACTTTTAATTTTATTGTAATATACTTATTTTTCAAGTGAGACATTTTAATTAAAGTTAAGGCTTTGAGTGGACTACATAATGATATTCAAATGTGAAACATTATCACAGTTTTGATATCAATACTCCAATAACCAATTAGAGATCATTTGCTGCTTTAAGATATTCTCAGTAGCTTGTGTTTGATGAGATATCAGGTCATTCTAAAAAGAATCTAACACCTTTTAAATTTTTACTGTACTCACAGGTCTGGCAAGAGCAACAGCCATGAGGCAGGTAAAGATGAGAAGCTTCATGGTTGTCAAGGTCTATTTAAGAAGATAAAATAAAGGTTAGGTTTTATACTAAAAGTTGTATCATCAATATTTTTTTATTTCTAACAAAAGAGAAATATTATGATAAAATAGTTTTAATTAAAAAAATAGTACTTTTATTAAATTAAGATTTTTAATTTTGCTACTCAATATAAATGTTTATTATCCTAGTTATCTTCCTTAATGTTGCAGTATTTAGAAATGCCAATTTCTTACTACTATATTCACTTACTAACACTCTAAAATAAGACATTTATTCCATGAAGTAGCAATATGGTTGAATATGGTTTTGTCAATGGAATAGAGAAGCATCAATATTCAAGTACAATTAAATTTTTTTCTCTTGGATCATCAGATTTGCTAAAGTATGTAATAAAATAAAATATAATAAGAACTGTCATTTAATTTTATTTGAAAATGACTTTCTTCTTTAAATTTATTTGAAAGTATCCTGCTCTTTCAGAGTTTTCATGAAAAATACTGTTGGTGCATTGTGTAGAAATTTTAACCTCCATCATTTATTTTTTAAAAGAATCTAGTTTAATTGGTATCTTGCTACATTTATATATATATGACATGACTGTATAAAGGTGATTAAGTTGGACAGAATCATAAGATTCAGAAGTCTTATCATGTTTGATTCCTAGAATTCAATCAACTTGCAAGAAACTAAAAATACTGAAACATATACAGGAAATTGGTTTCCAGAGAAATTACCTTAGTCAGTAAAGTAATACTGACATATTACATATATACTGATTTAATTTGCAACCTGTAGAATCTAAATTCATTAGTAAAAACAAAAGGCATATTTGTAAATCCAAAATGAGTTTACTACCTTTATCTATTGGTATCCTTCCAAATATCCAAATTAAACCATCTTTACAAAAAACAGTCATACAAATCTAAGTGTATATCCCCTTATGGAATTAATTTTGTTAGCCAAATGACGCAGAATAAAACTGGCCTTAAAAGTATTCTTACAGCAATGATCTTCCCTTTAGTAATCAGAAAGATTGGAAATTATTTTGCATAACCACTTTCCATAGAATTGGGCAAAAATAATTTAAATTACCTTACCACAAGTCTCTATTGAAATTCTATATCTACTTCTTCAATATATGAGAAAGATTTCAGTTACCAAATCATCAAAACATGAGTTGGTCTATATAAAACTATATTAATTTTTCACTTAAAGCTCTGAGGTGGTGCCCGACCGGTGTGCTCAGTGGTTGAGCGTCGACCCATGACCCAAGAGATCTCAGGTTGGATTCCCTGTCAAGGAACATGTCCCAGTGGCATGTAGGAGGCAGCCATTCAATGTTTATATCTCTCTATCCCTCTTCCTTCTCTCTACAAAACAATAAAAACATATATTTTTTAAAAGCTGTCAGGTGGTATTAAATTAGAAGATTTTTTTTAAGCTACCAGTATATCATACAAAGGTACCAATATATAAAAACAGAAACACAAATACATCTTAATAGAGAGTGAAACAAAGATTAAGCAATGTGAAATCATAATAATTTTGCCTTATGTAAATACAACACCTTATGGGAACCCAAGCCTGGGAAGAAGAAGCAAGCTGTGTTGAAGATCAAAGTGATGGTAAGTCTTTTTTCCTCACAGCTATTTAAACATAGAGATTAGTAAAATGCTAATTTTGTGGTTTCAGTGCAACCAATAGGTTTATTCAAATTCTAAGAATTCAACCCAACAGGAAATTAATTTTCTGTTCAATTCTCTCCTAGGAATTTCTGAGGAGAATTTTCAACAAAAGAGTGATTCATGCTATAATACAAATTAATCAGGAACTGGAATGGCATACTCATAATTAAAATAAATCTTTGTAGCTTTATGATTATTATGAGAACATAATTTTATGTTTAATGGACAATTGGAAAAACTAATATGTCAATAGAATTGCCTCTATATCTTTTGAAAAATTCATTGCCTGTGAAGAAAATTCTTGGTACAAAATGGGGTCTTCAAATTTTTTTAAAAATTTTTTATCAAGATACTAGACCAGGAGAAGAATTCCTCACTTATTTCACCTTTTAAAACTTAATATGTCCTCTATTATTTAATTATTTACTTTATTGTATATGCTCTGACCTCTTTTTACCAAAAAAGTAATGTTATTTTTCTATATATTTTGCTGGTATTTTAACTACACCAGGTAATTGTTTTGTTTGCTTTTTTGGGGGATACTAGTTGTGAAAGCATCCATTAATTTAGCTATTAGATTGTTGAATTAAAAATCATAATTACTCAAAAATTACAAAATTTAAATGTTGGAAAAATCAACTTCATTTCTTTGATTTTTCATCTTTTGAAGTAAATAAATAGAAAATGTGAATATCCCTCTCTCCAATCTCAATCAACTCCTAGAATTAAATGTCATTGTACTTATCATAGAAAACATCACATATGCTTAAAAAATATCCATGCATAAAGTTTTAAAAATGATTGGTATTGATTGTAACTGCGTTTTTACAAAAAAGCAATCGTACTGTATATTTAAAAAATAACTATAATGATTTTTTACAACCTATTCACATTCATATGACAGAAACATATTTCTGGGTTAAAAGAAATTCAAGAGTGGTTCTGGCTGTCCACATTGGGGACCAGAAGAGATTGTAGTTTTCCATATTGAACTTCTCTTTAGACAGGATCTCCTCTTATTGACTGCATCACATCAATTTCATCAACTTACTAGTGTTTTCTGTTTACTTTCATTCATTCAAAGGGCTGAGTACAAGCAACCTCAAGTGCATTACAATACCTTGTTTTTATCTTTTCCAGAGGAAATGTCTTATTTTATTCCTAACTCAGAGCAGCACTATATATGAAAATTTCCATAATTTTTGAAAAGCTAATTGAGTTTCATTTGTTCTTTCACTCTTTTATTCTTTTATTCATTTATTTATTCACAGAGGTGAAGAAACTGGATAAGGTACAGTGAATATAAAAGTGGAGCAATAAATAAATAAATATGTGTAGAGAAAACCCAAATCTTTGGCCTAGTAGTACCATAGTGGGTAATTAACAAAAAAAAAGAAAAACAAATAACTTTAATATGTTTAATTTTGATATTCTTGGTAGTCCAAAAGTAAAGATTTGAACAGGACCTCTAGAGTCCCTATGAACAGCTGAGACTAAGGGCATGCTATGCAAGGCTTAATAGATATATCTATATCTCTATCTATATATCTATCTAGCTATCATCTATCCATCTAGCTATCATATATATATGTATATTACCTCTTTTTATATATATAAAATTATATATGTAAAATGCAAATTAGCCGGGATGCTGTAACAGTCATGACTGCTCAAGAGGAGGCTGCACACGCAGGTGGGTGGGAGGGGACTGCTGGGTGGTGAGGCAAGCCACAGATGGGGCAGACCCACAGAGAGTAGGGCAGACCAGGGCCCACAGAGAGCAGAGAGCAGGGCCTGCCCGAGAGAACAGCCTGCCAGCCAGGGTGCACTGGCAATCCACCTCTGTGTGTGAGCTTCAGAGTAAACACCTTTACTTACAGCTCATTGGCTAAGTTCCTGTATGCCTCTCACAGTGTTCTTGGTAACTTGCGTAATAAGAATCCAAGAAGGTATTTAGGGTTTTTCCACCTCACGCCTGGAGGAAAAAACAAAGGTCCGGTGCTGGAGGGACTAAGAAATGTCATATCCTTCCCTAGCTGGTTTTGCTCAGTGGATAGAGCCTCGGCTTGCTGACCGCAGGGTCTGGGTTCGATTCTGGTCAAGGGCATGTACCTAGGTTGCAGGTTCCTCCCTGGCAGAGGCCCAGGTCAGGACTCATGCAGGAGGCAACCAATCTAAGTGTCCCTCTCACATTGATGTTTCTCTCTGTCTTTCCCTCTCTCTTCCATGCTCTCTAAAAATCATTGGAAAAATATCCTCAGGTGAGGATGAAACAAAAGAAAGAAAAAAAGGACATATCCTATGAAAGAGACATCTTGAAAATACCTAAAGAAAGTTGTCATTTTTTTGTGGTGGAGGGACTGGAGTCCGTGTTTTGTGGTGGAGGTAGCTGGCAATGGCAGCAGCAGTGGGGTGATGGGGCAGTGCCTTCTCCTGATCAGCCCAGTTGCCTCCTGTAGAGGGAGGCCAGACTGCAGGGAGTGGGACTAAGCTGTCAGTAGGACATTTCTGAGGGTTCCTGGGTTGGAGAGGGTGCAGGTCTGGCTGAGGGAACCCCCCTCCCCATGCATGAATTGCATACACCAGGCCTCTAGTCTGATAATAATGTTTGTCATCAAAGGGGAGCAATCAACATTTTTAAAGAGTCTAATTTGTATCAAAAGACAAATCACCTCTTAATAAACTCAAATTTACTGTGAGAATTCTCAAAAACTCTAAATCTAAATTTATCTCTCTATAATCCCCTTTAGAAAAGACTAATTCTATACATTGTATGAATTAATTATTGAATATAGTTATGTGGTTCTTATTTTTTACAATAAATCATTCTTATTATTGTAAAATATAACTGTCTACTATAATTTGAAAAAACATGTTTTTATGTGTTCATTGTATGATGTTAAGTCATACCAAATTTTAGCCTAAGTTTACTTGCTTTACCTTGATATTTTTCATTTGCTTTTTTCAGTTAAAGTTGTTCAATTCCAGATATTAAAACAAAACTCAAATTTGAAATACATATTTAGATAATTTTTTTATAGTCAGATATGTCTTTACCTGATGAGTAATGAAAAAATAAGATTATTACCTGATACCAATTTTATGATGTAATAGAGTCATATGTAGAATGAATGTATAATTGATCACCCAACAATAAACATTCATTATAACTAAATGGTCTGGTGGTCATAATTACAAAATAACAGTAATCTAATCTAATAATAGACTAACATGGTAATTGACCGCACCTTTGCTATGCCTCTCATGGGCTAATCAGTGTGATATGCAAATTAACCACAAACAAAGACGGTGGTTAATTTACATAATGCAGGCAAGGCAGGACATCTCAAGCCTCCAGCGTGTCCCCATCCAGGGCAGGCCGGCCCCAGGAGCCCCAGAAGCCTGCCTGCCTTGCCACCCGGGACCTGATCCAATCTTGGGCAGCAAGTCAGGTGGGCCCCAGAAGCCCCAGAAGCCACCTGAGATGGTAGTAACTATCAGTAAGCACTCCTAAAGTCAGTGGCATAAATGCACTAATTAAAAGACAGATTATGAGGGTGAATCAAAAATAAAACCCACTTTAAATAAAAAGACACATATAGATTAAAAGTAAATGAATTAAGCTGCAGCCTGTTTTGCTCAGTGGATAGAGCATTAGCCCATGGACTGAAGGGTCCCAGGTTCAATTCCAGTCAAGGGCATGTACCTCAGTTGCTGGCTTGATCCCCAGTCCCTATCAAAGCATACGCAGGAGGCAATCAATCAATGTGTCTCTCCCTTTCCCTTCACTCTCTCTAAAATTCAATGGAAAAATATCCTTGGGTGAAGATTAACAAAAACAAAGTAAATGGATTAAGTAACATTAAAGAAATTATAAGAAAAATATATTCCAAATTTTGTTAGTTGTATAATGAGGAGGCTGTGGCGCTGGAGTGTCTCAGTAGAGAGATAGCACTGAACTAAATGATGAAGAGGAGGTAGCAGGATAGAAATTTTTTGAACATGGCTGGTGATTTGAAGCAATGAAGGACTGCCCAGCCAGCATGGCTCAGTGGTTGAGTGCTGATCTATGAACTAGGAGGTCACCGTTCGATTCCTGGTCAGGGCATATGCTTGGGTTGTGAGCTCAATCCCCAGTATGGGATGTGCAGGAAGCAGCCGCTCAATGATTCTCTCTTATCATTGATGTTTCTATCTCTCTCCCTCTCCCTTCCTCTTAGAAATCAACAAAAATATTTAAAAAATTTTAAAAATGAAAGCAATGAAGGATGTAGTATAGTAGAAAAGATTTCACTGAGCCATATGAAAAGTCATAAAATATTAAGAAGTAGAAGTTATTTCAGGATTTAATTTCTAAGTGATTGATATAACTCCAGAACAAAAGAAATACAAAAAACTGAATATGATCAGAGGAGGTAGCCAGGAATTAGAAGTGACTATTAATATTTGGGTAATATTTAGAAACTTGAGAAGAGAGAGGAATTTTATAGATGAGAGAACAGCTAATGGCAAGTATGTGGAGGCATAAACTTAAAGCTCCAAAATAATTCCATTTGGGAAATGAGTCAGTACATTAATTTTATATTTTGAAAGTACTCTGTTGAGTAATACAAGAATTTTGGAGGCACAGAAGAGGACTTGTCATTCTCAACATGAAAAGATTAGAAAAGGAATTTTGCAAGATAAGTAGAAGAGTGTGAGCTGAAGAAGTGTGAGAAGAGGGGAGGGGAAATAGACTTGGAGGTGTGTTATGTCAGTGGTTTGAAGTGACTGCATTGTGTTAATAAGAGAATGGTGAGTGATGTAGTTGGGAAGGAAGGTAGCAAGCAGAACACAGAAGGCCATGGGGTACAAAAATGAATATGGACTTGATCTTCAGAATTGAAATTCTTGAGGAAGGCAGAGGCCTAAAAGGCTGACATGTTCACTTTGAGCCTTGA